GGAGAGAGTGAGTGAGTGAGTGAGTGAGTGAGTGAGTGAATGAATGAATGAATGAATGAATGAATGAATGAATGAATGAATGAATGAATGAATGAATGAATGAATGAATGAATGAATGAGCAGATAATCTGAATTCTGCATAGCTTCTGCAAAGCTAAATTCTGCAGTCACACATTCTACTCTATTTTATGGTTTTTGCTTTCACAAATGCACAGCACAGTAATTAAGAACATCCTCCAAACCCTGACAGTACTATATAACTGGAATAATATTTTAAAAAACAACAACAGGAGTCTGTTTACTTCATAAAGTCAAGTAAGGTAGTATGACATGTGTTACAGAAAATACTAAGAACAAATTTTGTGCCCCAATATGTGTCGCAGCCAGCGGAGTACATATATAAATAGCTTGTTTTTGCCACAGAAAAATCAACCCCATGCTCTGATGTGGTTTACAGAGAATTGCAACTATTTATACATACATGTGCCCTTCACACGTGATGAGGCGCCGATCCTGTTTTCTGCAGGGTATTTATACCGACGCAGAAAATGTCAAGCGCCAAGCCGCCCACAGAGTTCGGGTAATCAGCGACGGTTTCGCCTCGTTTGCGCAAACTCATTAAACAAGCATCAGCATATGGACATCTCAACTGATGCTTCTAAGGGTTCCCCACACCTATCTTTAAGGCAACAAGATGTTTCTCCCAACAAAAAAACCAACTTTCCAATCATTTAAGCCCATAGAAGCCAAGTCTGCCCTTAAGTGCAACAAAGGTCTCTCTCTTTCTCTCTCCTCCTGTATTAATTATCTGTTGATAATTTATTAGCGGCATTTATACCCCACCTTTCCTGGTGGCTCACCTGGCTGTGCTCCCCCTTATTTTCTCCTTACAACGGTCCTGGTAGGTCAGGATGAAGGAGTATTTTGTTCACCGACTCAGTGGGGATTAAAATCCCATTCCGCCTTCCACACTCTAATTGGTTGTACCATGTTCCCTCTCTGTCTGTTGGAGCTTTTTCCACTATCCTAAATGTTCTTATGATCCACTGGCCTTCTCTTCTCCTGGCTAAATATATCCATTTGTTTCAACCTCTCCTCAGAAGACGTGTTTTCCTGACATCTAACTATGTTCACTACACTCCTGGGATCCCCTTCCTATTTGTGTATGAACTTTTTAAACTACAAAACTAGAACTGTAGGAAGCTAGATCAGAGCCTGGGAACTTGCTTCTAAAACGTAACTAGTTACAGAGGCTGTTCGAAGGCAGCCATTCCAAAAATAGTTACTTCTAGGATGCAATTTTTCAAAATAGCTCTTTACTTTTCTACCTTTTCTCAAAGGTAGTTAAAACAGTTCCTTTAAAAGATCCAAATGCTATAAGCTACTGGTTTCTGACATTAAAAAACAGCAACTCTTCCCTTGTCATCACCACAACATTCACAATGGAGCATGATGTAACAGCAAGAGTCAGCACTAATCCATCATCACTTCTGTGTAAACACACATTATAAAGAGAGCTTAAAAACAGAGGTCAGAATCTGACTGGGGGTTTTGCCCATGTAAAGGCAATTGCACAAATTATGGCAGTGGATTGTTTTGTTGTTGTTGTTTAGTCATTAAGTTGTGTCCGACTCTTCATGACCCCATGGAACATGCCGTTCTGTCTTCCACTGCCTCCCGGAGTTGGGTAAAATTCATGTTGGTAGCTTCGATGACACTGTCCAACCGTTTCATCCTCTGTCGTCCCCTTCTCTTGCCTTCACATTTTCCCAACATCAGGGGCTTTTGCAGAGAGTCTTCTCCTGAGATGGCCAAAGTATTGGAGCCTCAGCTTCAGGATCTGTCCTTCCAGTGAACACTCAGGGTTGATTTCCTTCAGAATAGATAGGTTTGTTCTCCTTGCAGTCCAGGGGACTCTCACGAGCCTCCTCCAACACCACAATTCAAAAGCATCAATTCTTCAGTGGTCAGCCTTCTTTATGGTCCAGCTCTCACTTCCATACATCGCTACTGGAAAAAAACATAGCTTTGACTATTCGGACTTTTGTTGGCAAGGCGATGTCTCTGCTTTTTAAAATCCTTTTGAGGTTTGCCATCACTTTCCTCCCAAGAAGCAGGCGTCTTTTAATTTCATGGCTGCTCTCACCATCTGCAGTGATCATGGAGCCCAAGAAAATAAAATCTGTCACTGCCTCCATGTCTTCCCCTTCTGTTTACCAGGAGATGATGAGACCAGTGGCCATGATCTTAAGTTTTTTTGATGTTGAGCTTCAAACCATTTTTGGCGCTCTCCTCTTTCATCCTCATTAATAGGTTCTTTAATTCTTCCTCACTTTATGCCATCAGAATGGTATTATCTGCATATCTGATGCTGTTGATATTTCTTCTGGCAATCTTAATCCCGGTTTGGGATTCATCCAGTCCAGCCTTTCACACGATGCATTCTGCATATCCAGTGAATTGTTACTAATCGACAAGTTGTTGCTCACACACGCCTGGTCATATGCTAGTCACACAAGTTAGTGCACTGCCAGGAATGCGAACAGCGGCTAACCACTTAGAAACAATGTGCCACTGCTATTTATGCAGTTATTCCTATGGCAATATGATTCCTGCTGGCACTTTCTGGATCACAATTCCAGAAGCTTCTGGGAAGCATGGCCTGAAGTCATGTTGACTACAGGCTTCTAGGTGTTGTACCTTTCCCCCACCCAAAAACAACAACCACTACATTTCCCATGTATGGATTTCCCAATTTGCTTTTCCGAGCTATCATAATCGGAGACCACAGACATTTTCAAATGGACTTAAAAGGGAGGCAAAAGAGGTCATATAAGGACAAGCCTGATTGACACAACAACCACGTTGGCCCTTTATATCAACGGCATTATGCCTCTCTAAATAACAGCTCCTGGCAGTAAAAACAACAGGAAAAAAAACAAGACTATTGCTTTCACATGATTCTTGGCAGCTTCCCTTAGCATCTGGTTGTTTTTTTGTGGACCATCAAGCACATAAGGGATCCCTGTCAGATCCGGTGGCTGTTCTTCACCAAGCATGATGAATAACCCCCCAAAAGCCTGTATCTTCAGGAAGGCTGGCATTTATTGTTAGGGATATTCCAGTTTTTCTTTCCATGGCACGCGTGGAGTTTGGTGAGGTCGGGCATCTTAGCAGACCACGTGCATATGACATGGGGTTCACAAAAGGATGGGCTGTTTCTAATGTATTAATCTGAAGGGTCCCCATCAGTCATCATCCGGAACCCAAAACGTTTGTAAATGACAAGACGTGATTTCCTACTTCCCTACTGCCTATTTGTTTGTTTGTTTATAGGCTGGATGGGGAAATGCACTGCATTTACTGATTGATCTTCGGTTTCCTTCCCAAAGTTCAATATTTCCTTCTGTATTCTTGATTTTATCGCTAAAACATAAACCACTCAGCAAGCAGGTACATCTCCCTTAATCCCTGCAAATTAGACATACTGTATTTCTATCCCCAGCAGAAAGGAGATCTCCCTTAATCCCTGCAAATTAGACATATTTCTATCCCCAGCAGAAAGGAAGGGTGAGGATGTAGGTCCTTTTCGCTAAATCACAAACCTCAAGGACAAACGAGATTGCTTCACAAGCAGGGTGACAATGCGCTTCGCCCTTAAGACCAGGGATTTCTGCCTCCGAATCAGGGACGCAGCTGGTTCCATATCGCTAAATTGTTCCAAAGGCACATCTCTGGATTCTGACTCCCACAATGGCTGGGGGATGCTGGGAGCTGTAGTCCAAAAGAGCCACACAGCTCGGTGATTTAGGCCTCTCAGGCTGTGGAGCCAGAGGTTGGGAGTTTGATTCCCCCACTGGGCCTCCAAGACCTGATCCGTCTAGAGTGCTAAGAGGATGATGACCCTTTTCTGTTAGGGAGTGTCTCAGATATAAAATGAGTGGAAGGACTCTGATCAAGACAGTTTTTCGTTTCTACACCTGCAATTGCAGAGGGGCATGTTTCTTTTAAAAAAATATCAGAAGCACCTTAGCCTCTTCCCCCCCCCACACACCCCAAGATTTAATTCTTCTCCACCAAAGCAATACTGAACATAAATCGATTTCGGAGAAGGAAAAGCCGGTCCACAACCAGGGGTTGCCCCGGCTGGGGGCTTTTTCTGCTCCGGATTTCTCCCTCCCTCCCCCTTGCTTCTACCCCAATGATCATTTCTTGCATAACGATCTTGTTTTCTTTCCACTTTGGTTAAAGGTTGGAAATGCCTGTTTGGACTAGATATGGAATGGATACCTGATGTGCAGAAGGGCCCCCCCCCAAAAAAAACCGAGGTAAGCAAAGGCGATGCCCAGAGAAAGAAGGGGATGCTCAGAGGGACCAAGAACCCACCTTCTTCTTACCTATGAACTTATAAAGAAAGAAAGAAAGAAAGAAAGAAACAAGGCAAGCAAAGATGATGTCCAGAGAAAGAAGGGGATGCCGAGAGGGACCAAGAACCCACCTTCTTCTTACCTATGAACTTATAAAGACCATCATCTTTCTTTAACAACAGGGTTGCAGGGAAAGGGGCTGTTGGGCGCGAACGGCACTCTGCCCATGCTCTGGGGCAAGCTCTCCAAGCCGCCTAGAAGGGTCAAGGCATTTCTATCATTCGGATTGATTGCAGCCCACCTGGGAGCCCAGAAGGGAGATGCGGCTTTCCTGAGCGCAGGGCTCGCCCTTGGCGGGAGGCGCCTAGTGGTTAGGTACAGCCTGGCTCTGCGCAGCCCTGGGGTCGTGGCTAAGGCGCATAAGCGCAGAGGTGGGATGCAAAAAAAAAATGATGATGATGATGATGAGATGCAACGATGCCTCCATCCCAGCAGAGTCAGAACAAAGGGAGGCGGCCAGGGTTGGAAGGGCAGGCGCTCTCCCCGCCCTCGCCCCTTCCCGGCTTCCCTGCACCCCCGGGATCGGGGCCATCCCTCGCTCGCTCGCCCGGCCGCCGCCGCCGACGCACTCACCTGCCCGGCTCCGTGGCGCACGAAGCCCGAGCCCCCGCCGCCACCGCCGCCGCCATCTTGTTCCCGGCCGACCTTATTAAAGACTCGGCCGAGCGCTCCGCATTATGGGGGGTGTAGTCCGCCTCTTCCCCCCCTCCTCCACGGCATCCGCGCGGGGCGGAAAGGTGATGCGGAGGCTGCGCCCGGGCGCATTCCTGCAGCGCCGGCCTCTTTGCTTCTCCCCAAAGACTCCGAGGATGGAGGAAGGATGGAGAGGCGAGGAATAAAATTGGTCCAGGGTCCACGCCATGCCAATTCCCTAACAATCCCCCAGGCTTCCCTTTTTTTTGAGTTTATTGTATTGAATCAATCAATATTGATTGTTTAAAGCATGCACTTTAATGCATGTAGTGCATGCATTAAAGTGCATGCACTACATGCCCCCCCCAATGGGTCCCAAGGCTTCGGGTCAAAATTCGCCCGATCGTTTCAACATTTTAAATTTGTTTGAACCTTATCTGTACTATATTACCTCCAAGGCCATAAATTTTTTAATTGTGCCACGGTCAGGTACCAGCAAAGAAAGCAAGATGGTTGTGACACAGACACGAAGCAGAAGGGAAGAAAAGCAGGATGGGAGGCCACCGCTCACGGCTTGAAATACGGTGGTCCAGGCAAAAGCTAGCATGCTTAATGTGAAACCACTTCTCTGAGTACTCGCTGCCTGGAAGACCCTGGAAAGGGTCATCCTAAATCAGAACTGGCTTGACATTATATGGTGATTATTTTACATCAAATCAAGCCTAAACTCTTTTTGGAAGCAAAACTGACTAAATTGAGGCAACCAGAGGCAAAACTCATGGAAAAGACAGTAACGCTGTGGAAAGTGGAACACAGTAGGAAACGAGGACATCTGAGTGTGAGATGGGTAGACTCAATAACCTTGATAGGGGAACGGGGGTTAAGGATAAGACCTTTCGGAGGTTCTTAATTCATAAGGACTGGCATACAGTCAAGCAGGAGTGACTTTTCTAACACAACAACCAACTGTCCTCTTTATTTTGATACTGTCATTTTCATTTATTAGACTGCAGTGTTATCTGTTTATAGGCTATAAATGGGACGCTCTTCAAGGAAGGAGTATAAATAAATCCCTTATATGCATAAAAAAAAAGCCAAACAAAAACTTGCAGGTACTCTTAACCGCCACCGTCCCACTTCATAAGGAGCTCATCCACAGCAGCCAGTTCATCTGGATTTTCCCCGATTCCAGTATTTTGGCAGGAAGCATCATAAGAAAAAGGAAAATATTGTCTACAGGCGGTGCTTGTTCCCGCATCCTACATGTGTCTATTCATTTGCTGTTCACAGATATAGGCATAATGCTATCATGAAGCATGTATGCCTGAAAACTATATCAATGCATCACTATGCACAATGCATCACTTTGTCCCTGTTGCCCTGGTGAGGGGGGGAACCCTTCCTATATTCTTGCACTGGATAGTATTTGCCTTCATAAATGTGTTGGTTGGCCCGTCCCAAGCATGTGCCTGGAGCATTTCTCTTTTGAAAGAACCGATAAGAAAGGCAAATGCTTTCAGTTTATCATTGGTACAATAAAAGCCACATGCAATGTGTTTGTTGGTGCCTGGAATCCAAATGACATAGATAGATAGATAGATAGATAGATAGATAGATAGATAGATAGATAGATAGATAGATAGATAGGTAGGTAGGTAGGTAGGTAGGTAGGTAGGTAGGTAGGTAGGTAGGTAGGTAGGTAGGTAGGTAGGTAGATAGATAGATAGATAGATAGATAGATAGATAGATAGATAGATAGATAGATAGATAGATAGATAGATAGATAGATGCTCAGGAATGATGACACAGAGAGAGACAGACAGACAGACAGACAGACATGATGCTTGGTTGGTTTTCATTGTATGTATCTCCGATCCTTTGATACTGGCTGGAAAGTATTTTAATAATGAAGATATTTTAATCCTGAAAATAAATGCATCCTTAGACTCAAAAGTCCGAGCCAGTTTATAGAGCCGTGGGTTGGAGTGCTTTGCTACAGAGTTAAGAGCCAGGAGTTTGAATCCCACCCACCCCCACCCCTCCTAGGGAGAAGGACTGGCCAAGGTCTGCCAGTGTTGATACGGCTGTGGGTTTACGTGCCTTGCGGCTGTGGGCAGACTGCAAGGGGGATCCCATATGAAGGGGGGGGAGAGAGAAGCCATTTCTGAGTGTTGTGTACCTATCAATCCCTGGGAGGATGGCCATAATCCATCTGATGGCATTCATTCTTGGATACAAAGACAGGACGAACATCTCTGGTCTCCAATACGTTGCTCGGACTGCATCTTTCAACATCCGTGCCCAGTGCAGTCAACAGTGACAGATTACGGGAGGTTGCAACCCAACAATATTCATGCAGCTGCCGTTACTCCTGCTTCATGGCTCAGAAAAGAGGTTTGCAATCTTGCTTCGAGAGATAGCAACCAAATCAAACCATATTTCTCTGGGTTTGCACCCCGTCATCTTGACATCTAGCCCATAGAGCACAAATTTTAGTGGCAATCTTGGTTCAGGCCTTCAGTGATAAGAAAGCACAGTGTCTCTGAGCCTGGGCAAAGCGCTTTTCTCCAGAGTATCCGTAGAGGGACCTCCTGTGTTCCTTCCTAGTTGGAAAAACCACTAATGAAAGTGAGACCTGCTTAGACAATTGTTTGGAACTGGTTAAAAGCTCTGAATGTACTTCATTTGCAGTCCGGCACACATGTAGTGCCTCAGGTAGGATGTGGAGCAAAAGCAGAGGACGTTCAGAGGTTGTCCAAGTTGGCCGAATTTTAAATCTTAGGTAGCTTCATTCTCCATTGTCATCAGCCATCCAGAGCTTGATCCTGCCCCTCTTCTGTATGACTACTTTTCAAGTATTTGAAAAGTGCTATTCCACCTCCCTTCAGTCTTCTTTTCTCAAGGCTAAACATGCCCAGTTCTTTCATTCTTTCCTCACAGGGCTTGGTTTCCAGTCTCCTGATCCTCCTTGAACTTCTTCTAATTTGTTAGCATCCTTCTTGAAGTGTGGTGTCCAGAACTGGACACAATACCCAAGATCAGGCCTAACCAGTGCAGAATAGAGGGGAACGAATAACTTTGCAGGATTTGGAGACTATACTTCTGTTAATGCATCCTCAAATAGCATTTGCCTTTTTTTGCAACCATATTGCACTGTTGGTTCGTATTCGGCTTGCGACCTACATCATCAACAGGATCCTTCTCTCTGGTACCAAATATCCCTCTTGAAATAAAAAGAGGGAGCTGTATGGCCATTGTAAAATACAAATGCAAGGATAGGTGATACCTTTATAGGCCATTAATAAAAAATTAAAAATCATACAATATGAAAGCTTTCATGGGTAAACTTCACTTCTTCAAAGCAAAAGTCCAGACGTTCATGGGATTTACCCTTAAAAACTTGCATATTGTAGGATTTTTTTAAAAAACAATTATTAGTGGCCTGTAAAGGTCTCCTATATTCTTGCATCCCTCTTCTTGTAACTGTGCATTCTACTAGATGTAGAACAGGACCATAAAGAAGGCTGACCAGCGAAGAATTGATGCTTTTGAACTGGGGTGCTGGAGGAGGCTCTTGAGAGTCCCCTGGACTGCAAGGAGAACAAACCTATCCATTCTGAAGGA